GGAAAACCAGCAACCTTTGGGAAAAGATTTTTGGCACTGCAGCAGCCCCCAGACTCACATTGCAGTTGTCAGGAGGGTTTGCAAGATGCACGTTGCTGAGGTCCCCAGCTCCAGCCCTGACGATGACAGCCTGCACAGACACTGTACCCCCCAGCACAGCCAAGCCTGGCAGCCCGGCCAGGCTGTCCCAGGCTGTGGACTACGCTCAGCTGCCAAGGGGGCCTGATCTACCCTGGAATCCCGTGCCCTTTGAGCCAACCCTATTGACTGAAAGGGTTCAAAGGCTGGGTGTCGTACGCTGGGTCTGCAGAGGCGGAGTGCACAGGTCTCCTGCCCCTGTACAGGATTTGTTTGCGTGGATTCAGCCCTACACTAAGTCTTTTGCATGGATGCCCGTGCCCAAGTCCATGGAGGCTGGATATCAGGGAGGCAGTGGGAAGCAGTGCGGTAGGTTTGGGCGCATTTTGGTGCCCTGGAGATGCCCAGCTCCACCGCATTAGGAAGGGGCACGGGTCAGTACTGGGATCCGGCAGTGGGGAGGCAACGGGGTCCCCACTCCATGCCCTGCATCCCATCCTTGCACCGTGCTCCTTCCAGCAGCTGCCAGCTGCCTTTTGTCTCGGTGCCCTTAGAATCATAGAATCACTTTGGTTGGAAAAGACCTTTAAGATCATCGAGTCCAACCTTTAACCTAACCCTGCCATCCCACCACTAAGCCACGTCCCTAAGCCCAGGAGCATCCTCAAGGACACCGGCAGCGCCAGAAATGCCTGCCTCTTGCCAGAGATGCTGCAGCAGAGCTCCCCGCCAGCACCGGGGTCGAGCTGCCACGCTCATCCAGCACCCCGCAGAGAATGAATGAGCCCCTTGCCCGGTGCTTGGCTTCTCGGGGGATGCATTTGTACAACCATAGCAACAGCTGCCTGCAAACAGCGCTGCCGAGCGAGCGGCGGCCGCTGGGATCTCCAGCCAAAAGGCTGTGCAAGTGTCTGGCCGCGGCTGACCGTGTGTTTTCAGGAGCCCTTTTCTGGCAGCAGAAGCACAAGCCTGTCTCAGAGAGAAAGGAGCAGCTGGTGGCCAAATCCTGCCCACGGAAGGTCTGATCTCTGTGCCCGAGGGTTATAATGGAGCGCAGTAGGGGGTGTTTGGCACCTCGTGGGATGAAATTATGGGTATCCCTTAGCATCAAGCTTTTGCAATTGTTAAACTGGTAGCTTTTGGGTGGAAAGCTCCAGGCTTAAACAAACTTTGTAAAATGAATCAAACCAGCTGGAATCACTCCTTAAGGTTTGGTCATCACCTTTCTCTTGCCTTTCTTATAGCATTT